CTTATATTTCATCTTTCCTAAATGACAGTGAGGTTTCTCATTGAAATAAAAAGAAACATTAGTGTAAAAGTGTGAAAAGTAAGACTTTTCTTTTGTTCCAATATAATTACTCCCTTCTTTTCATCCACAGCTTCATAAAAATTAATTTCCTTTTTATTATTTCGATTTTGTTACATATGGAAAGTCGATATTCTTAGCTTGTCTGGTTGGAGGTTTCTATGAAAGGCTGAGTTAATGAAGTGAGTTTCTAAAAGTGAGATAACTGATATCCTTGATTAGTTTTGCATTTTACAGGTCATGACCTAGAACGCATCCCCTGTTTCTCTCTATGAAATTTGGTTGATTTTTACAATAAAGGTTCCTAGGTGCACGCGAGCTGGCCCGGACACACGGATATCAAAAGAAAAAAAAAATTATAACATTGGCTAAATTAATTGTGTATATTGTTAGTTGACTTCCTTTCTCCCATTTTTTGTACCTTCCCTCTAAATGAGCAGGAAGATCTTGTGGCTTAATGCTATTAGAGCTAGTTTTTTGTAACAGCGATTAGAAAGCAGTAGAACTTTTCAGTTTTATGAGGGGCTGTTTGGGATTAACTTTTCAGTTTCCTTCTTAAGTTTAATTTCCATGCATTCTATACACTACTCCAAGACTTATAAATAATGGCTTCCTTTGTGAGAGACAGGGCAAACAAAGAAGGAAATCTTTGCTGGAATTTTTCACTGCCAAGCCATAAGTCCTTCGAAACAATGTGCTGGTACCGTTGCCTGCCTTATGAGAAATATATCTTTGTGTCTGGCAATATGTTTCCATGGGCCTTTTGATGAATGCATGAATTTTTGGCCTGGTTTGTGGTCAAAGTTCCATACTCTGTAGCTATAACTTTATTCATAAGGCACTTTTTTATCGTTAAACCACCAAATCCATTTTCCATAGCTTCGGGAGTACGAAAAGATGCCAAGTCAATTTCTTTAGGACACTACTTCGATATGCAGCACCAACCTATCAGGGTTATTGCCATTTCTTGTTGGTTCCATGGCTTTCTCGATGATCCAAACAAGTTAGTGAATTTTGCTCCCTTAGCCCCATACATGTTGATAAAGCCCTCCTCAGGTGTGAAGATGGATTACAAGCGACTAACTTTACCCAACACGCAGAATGGCAAACCTCTGAAACAAACTTAGTTTCTTCCAATGAAGCTCCAAAAACGTAAATTCCCACTGTTAGGTCCCTTCATATGGAGGCTGGATTATCATTAGGGATCTCCCCCTTCACTTGTGGAACGACTCTGTTGTGCCTTATATAGGGAACAAATGTGGTGGTTTTGTGGAAACCTCTCGGGTTTTGCCAGCCTCAGAGACCTGATGGAATTGAGGATAAGGGTCAAAGTCAATGACATCGGTTTCATTCTAGCATTGATCGAACTTCCGTCCATTACGCAAGATGTCATCACGATACACATCGATCCTTCTTCATTGCTTGGAACTTGGTTCGAAACCGCAATATCAACCACAAAGCTCCACAGCTCTCCACCGAGGGGGACAATCTCCCACCGCCAGACATCTATCGGATCTGCAAAAAGCCCTGTTGCTGAGAGCAGCCATGAGGCTCAAAGCACTTTCCTCGATGCCACTACTGATGTTGGCACACTGACTGTGGATGTTGACCCTTTCAGGAACATCTTTAACCTCGGCAAAAGGAAAGGAAAAAGTCATTGACTATGTTTCAACTTGAATCCCGACCCACACAGTCGAGGAATAGAGGCCGTTAATTATTAATGAAGGAAGAAAACATGTGACTGTCAGGAATAAGCACTATCTCACCTCCCTTTTCCACAAAAGGAAACCTAGCCCATTACAAATCAGTCCTATCCCTGATGACATTGATGAAGTGGACTATTTTTCCAACCCTTTCCTCGAGGATAATCCAATCCTGTCCATCTGCAATAGCCCATCTATACCCATTATCCCCACCATTCTCTTTGGTGATTTACCAACCTTTGAGGTGACACCCACCCTATCAACCAACCTATTCCTGCCTCATACAGCTTACCTAGCCCTGAACCTGCTCCCATCCACTGTTAGATGAAGATTCTCACATGTCATCCCCTGTTAGATGAAGGAATTCACATGGAATGTGAGGGGGTTGGCTCATGGCAGAAGAGAGCCCTTATAAAGCAATCTATCTCTCGTATTAATCCAAATCTGGTGATTCTACAAGAGACCAAGCTTTCCAGTGTTGACAACATCATCGTCAAATCCCTTTGGAGCTCTCATGGGATTAATTGGACAACCTTAAATGCCACTGGATCAACTGAAGGATCCTTATCCTTTGAAATGATCTTGACACGTCTGAGATCATAGAAGGTGATTT